GTCCCCATGGATCATACTGTTTGTACACTCACACCAGGAGAACAGGGACCTCAGCCAGAGATGCAAGCGCAACACCTCAGTCCTACTGATTTTCCTGACTCTGTGACTCAGCTTTTGGAAATTTTGAACAGGAATAGAGCTGTTGTTGCTCTACCAGGAGAAAAATTAGGTCTCACTCCTCTTATTACACATAAAATTCCCCTTGAAAAAGGAACTACACCTATTTATGTACCAGCTTACCGTCTTCCCCATTCTCAGAGAGCAGAAGCAGATAGACTTGTAGAGGAAATGTTACAGAGTGATGTAATTGAATCGAGTAATTCGCCATGGAACGTTCCATTGATTCTTGTACCAAAGCGAGATGGGACTTGGAGACCTGTAATCGATTATCGCAAGCTTAACAGAGTAACAATACCTGATCGTTTCCCACTTCCAGTTCTAAATGATTTGTTGCAAAGTATTGGTCGAAACAAAGTATTCTCAACGTTAGATTTGTTGCAGGGTTCCTGGCAAATCCCCCTTGATGAGGAAAGTAAACAATTGACAGCATTTAGTACTCCCAATGGTCATTTTCATTTCAAAAGAATGCAGTTTGGTTTGTGTAGTAGTCCAATAACCTTTTCACGGCTCATGGCAAATCTATTTCGTAGATTGATAGGAAGTACGCTTCTAGTTTACCTTGATGATCTCATAATCATGTCGCAAGATGTTCAGACTCATTTCCAGAACCTTGAGAAAGTACTTGCAAAGCTCGCTGAAGCTAATTTAAAAATAAAGCTTGCAAAATGTTCATTTTTAAAGCAAAAGATTAATTTCCTAGGTCATACAGTTACACCTTCAGGTATTACATTGAATGAATCAAAAATTATTGCTGCCCGTGATTTTCCAACACCTCGTACCACAGAAGCCGTAAGACAGTTCACAGGTCTTGTAGGATTTTATCGTTCATTTATTGCTGGATTCTCTATTATAGCCGCTCCGCTTTACAAGTTGCAAAGAAAAGATGAACCCTTTGTTTGGGGAGAGGCCCAGGATCAGTCATTCAAAAAACTCAAAGCAGCCTTGATTTCGTCACCTGTCCTTAGGTACCCAGATTTTTCTAAACCTTTTACGTTGGTTACAGATGCTAGTGACATAGGTCTAGGTGCTGCATTACTTCAAACAGAAGGTCACAGAGATCACGCAATAGCTTATGCTAGCCGTACTTTATCTAAAGAAGAGAAAAATTATAGTGCAACAGAACGAGAAGCCTTGGCAGTTGTTTGGGCACTTAAACATTTCAAGGATACAATTTATAATTACCCAGTTCATGTTCTTACAGATCACCAACCATTAATTCCCTTGTTCAAAAATAAGAATCCAGTTGGAAAGTTTGCTAGATATTTGCTCACAATTCAAGAATTCAATCCCACATTTGGATATATTCCAGGGAAGCAAAATGTTGTAGCCGATGCGTTTTCTCGACACGTAGCTGCGATTCAGTTAAATTACCCAGCATTAAATGCTACAGTAGTAGAAACGGAACAAAGACAAGACCCCATATGGGCACCCGTTATTAAATTTTTGACTAAGCAAGACACTCGCCCGATTCATAAACCGCCAGTACCATTGAGAGAACTAGTTATGTTGGACAATTTACTGTGTAGAGTGGTAAAGCTAGGGACAGCCCTGAGGAAATGTTGTCAGTTAGTTGTTCCAGCTGTCTTGGTACCAACTGTGTTAAAAATTATCCATGATGCTCCTGCAAGTGCACATCCAGGAAAGGATCGTACACTCCAACAAGATCGATTGAAGTATTTTTGGCCAAAAATGGCTAAGGAGATTGCTCATTATGTTGACAGATGTTTAACTTGTTTACAGCACAAGGGACATGTTTCAGGACCTAATCCAATTCAGGTGTATCCAGCAACTAAAGCTCCTTGGGAACGAATATCGATGGATTTATTGACAAATTTTGCGGAAACAGAGAAAGGGAACAAACATTTGCTTGTAATGGTCGATAATTTTTCACGGTTTTGCGAACTAGTTCCTATCCCGAACAAAACAACAGAAACTATAGCCAGTGCATTCCATGACCAAATAATTTGTAGATATAGTATGCCTAAAGTAATCCTTTCAGATAATGGTCCAGAATTCAGTAATAGTATTCTAACTAGCTTGTGTGATTTATATAACATCAAAAAATGTAGCATCATGCCTTATCATCCAGCAAGTAATGGACTAGCCAAACGTACTAAGAGGAAAGTGTTAGATGCCTTGAGAGTCACGTTGAATTTTGATAACAACAATTGGGATGATTTTATACCCTTAATTCAGTGTGCTATAAATTCTTCAATTAATGTTTCTACAGGTGACACACCTCACGCTATTCTTTATGGTATAGATAAGATCCTCCCTAATGAATTGATTAACGTACTTCCTACTCCCTTATATAACGTAGATGACTTTGTTCAAGTGAAGCATAGACAGATGCAATTAGTATTCAAGAAAATACGTGAACAACTGTCCAAAGCTACAGCCGAGTTCACTCTAGCAAGGAATGCATGAGCTAAACCCAGTAAAATAACTATTGGATCTGTAGTAATGATACTTAACCAACACAGGTCTGGTCCTATGTATAAGTTAACTAAGAAATTTTTGGGTCCATATAAGGTAATCGAGCTTATTAAAGGTAACAAATACAGACTTAAGAACTTGTTAACAGGAGAATATATAAATGAACATTTAGACCACATGAAGTTAGCTAAAATGACTGTTGACGAGACTGATGAGGAAGATGACAATGAACTTACCCAGACAGATCCTCCTATTGGGACACCACCTTCTGTGGTTGACAGACCACTTGATATTCAGCAACCCCATACTAGCACTTATAATCTTAGATCTAGACCTCTCGTTTCAACCGTGCACTCACCACATGTCCATTGGCTAGATGTTAACGAGGATATCTCTCAAGATGATAGTTCTCACATGAAGTTTCATCTGTTCCGAACCTTCAGTCAGAGTCAGAGTTGTATAGTGCTCTGGATGAGCTAGGTGTAGATATCTGCAGAATTTATAATTGAGTGCACTCTGCAGTTATTCTATTTGTTTTGAAAAAAAAAAATCATTTGCAGTATTTCTACCACATGTGTCTTATTATTACCATTATATATAATGTATAGTTTTTCTGAACTTTATTTTGTTATAAATTAGATGCCATTGTTAAGTCTACTATCATTTGTATTTTTACAGTGCTTGTCATAAGAGTTATTATTGTTCTAACAACCACATTGAGGCCAGTGAATCCTGACTGCTATCACGCAGATGTTAGTCTTCTTGATCCAGGTCTTGTATATAGCTTGTAAATATATGGCACATTAAATATATTGTACATTGGTCTTGTAAATATATTGTATATTTCAGAAAAAAAAAATCATTATCTATCTTAAAATTCATTTGTGGTTGTTAGGTCAGAACTTTGTTCCATTAATGTAATAATTGTTTAATTTTGTATGGTTTTCAAGCACATGCCATTGACACATGTTAATAATTTTGTTTAGGCAATACCTTGAGTTGTATTGTTCATATCTGATCAGTAGACATCCACATGTTCTTAATACTCTGGTTTAATCAAAGCATTGTTACCATGATTTTCACCTATTATGATGAATTTTTTTTTTTTGTGCATATGCCGAGTTGTTAGTATTATGCACACCTGATCTTCTTTCAATGTTTTATTATGCAAATTTCACATGTAAGCCATTATTGAATGCCACCGAGGTCCTTTCAGTATCATTGTAACTATATAGCTAGCCAGAGCTTGTCGACAAGGGACGTCGACTTGGTAGCGTGTCCGAGCGGTGTTATACTCAAATTCTATGTCAGTTGAAATGTAACCAATCATAGGCAAGTAGGCCTCTGACGTCATGCCAGACAGAGGAGCACCAGCCATTGCTCCCAGCAGCCGCAGTTCTCCTCACAGACTCAGAGTAGGTGGACCTCGGCTAGGCAGACATATACCTTGTTGTCTCGGTCAATAAATATACAGAAGCGACTACTGTGTCTACATTCTACCCGAACAAGGCAAACGAATATGTTGGTCAGGATATCTCTCGTGATGGTCTGGTGCTGTGTAGAAATAATGTGATTTATGATAGTTCCTTTTTGTTTGTACATTGTCAGGCACTGACAGTACCCGTACCCGGTAAGGGAGCCGGTCGGGCGAGCGGTCCTGGGTTCGATCCCAGGCGCCAGCGAGAAACAATGGGCAGAGTTTCTTTCACCCTATGCCCCTGTTACCTAGCAGTAAAATAGGTACCTGGGTGTTAGTCAGCTGTCATGGGCTGCTTCCTGGGGGTGGAGGCCTGGTCGAGGACCGGGCCGCGGGGACACTAAAGCCCTGAAATCATCTCAAGATAACCCATGTCGACATGTAAGGCATAGATGACTTTCGTATCTTTTGACTTGTTTTACTTATTTATTTATATATATACAAGAAGCTACATTGGGTTTAAGAGAGTACATAGCATTGATGTTTTTACATTCTTGTAATGCCACTGACACGCATAGCATTTCGGGCAGAAGTCAAATTTTGTGTTCTAAGAGTTCTTCGTGAGCAAGTTTGTGGTGTTCTTACACTTTTAGTGACCTGTCTTCTGTTTAGTGTTTGTAAGGGTCACATTTCTCTCGGTTATGTCTTTCTTGACACTTTCCTCCTTCTTGCGGGTCATTGTGAAGTAGAAAGTGTAAACTTAACCTTGGAGAGATGATTTTGTTTAATCATTTCTCAAGTGAAGATCAATAAGTATAAACAAAATTCATGTTCTAACCTTAAGTGATTGGTTTAATAATTTTCAACGTTGTAAAAGAAACATTCTCCTTAACATAACTCAAAAGAATATTTATCTTTACAAATGTATCATTCTATATGAATTTACCATATAGATTTTTAACATATTTTATATTTGTCACAATTCTAGGATGCATAACAGGAAAAAATAAATGTGGAGATAGGCTTAATTAATATTTATTGCCACATAACAGCAGCAGCAAAAGGTGGAACATGAAAGCTAGACACAAAAGTCTTGGCCTAAATTTAGGTATTTGTTACAGTAATCATTGATGATCATATCAGCATACTGGTCCACGAGGATGTACCCTACATGGCCCGGGTCCAGGCAGTTCCAGTGGTGCCAGGGTGGAGTGTGCAGGGGTTGTGCCTCACAGCGGAGGGTGTAGGCCCTGGAGAGTGGCAGGGTGCTGTCCCAGATGATCACACCCGTCCCAGACAGCTCCTCCAGCGCCGCCTTGTTGTACAGCGGGTAGTTACTCCGGGTGTTGATGGCTTTCTTTGAGTTAGGCATGCCGGCAATCTGAAGGTAAATTCATTGTGATACAAATGCTCTGTTGCTTATCCTTGTGGTTTGTAAAGGTATTTGGTAGCAATATTCTCATATTTGTAACATAAAATTGTTTAAAATTGTCAAAATTTTAGTTAACCCTCAGGTTCTTAGCAACGCTTACAAAAATTTACATACAGTATTTATTTATAACTTTAGTATGCAAAAACTTAATACTAAACGAGAAGTAAGCTAATATATAGTATATATTATTATAATATAGTATATTATGGTATATATATTATATGTTCCTTTGATGAAAGCCAGAAAAAGATCCAACGTAGAAAGAGAACGCAGACGACACTATAAAAGAAGGAAAAAAATAACGGAAATGCTTATGCAGACACGAATTTCCCGTCAAAGAAGGAATAATTTAAATAGGGAGATTGAAGAAATCGAGCGGAAATTGAAACACTCATATGAAACTGAAGAAAGGCAGTTAGAACAGAAAGCAATTCAGGAAATAAAGAAAAATCCAAAATATTTCTTCTCATATGCGAAATCAAAAGCAAAAACCACTGCCAGTATTTGACCTATTCGTACAAGTGAAGGTTTATACGCGGAGGATGACAAAGAAATTAGTGAAATCCTAAAAAAGCAGTATGAGGACATGTTTAGCACTCCAATAAACAACATGAAAGTGGAAGATCCAGACAATTTCTTTATGCGGGATATCCAAATCCCTGTAAATATAACTGATATCAACACGAGTGTACTAGACTTTGAAAGAGAAATTGAAACCATGCCCATGCACTCGGCCCCGGGTCCAGATTCATGGAATTTAATATTTATAAAGAAATGCAAAGTGCCGGTAGCACAGGCACTCAGTATAGTGTGGAGGAAGAGCTTGGACACGGGGGAGATGCCAGATGCACTTAAAGTAGCTGACATAGCCCCTCTACACAAGGGAGGGAGCAAAGCATTGGCAAAGAATTATAGACCAGTTGCACTAACGTCGCACATCTTTACCATTGTGATCATTGCTGTCTTCTTATATATGCTATCAATCTGCTGTATGGTGTCTATTAATCTTGTTTAAATTATCAATCAAGCTGTCAATGTAATCAATCAGAGCTTTAATATACCAACCCGTCCTCCAAAAATGGGGTGGTAAATGTAAGAAGACAAATAAGTGCAATTATGTACTATTCATAGCAGTTAGGAATTATACTTATTTTCACTTAGTATTAAATACAATACAATACAATTTTATTTAGGTAAGGTACATACATACAATAAATTTTTACAAGGATTGGTTGACTTATAGGTAGAGCTAGTACATACAATGCCTAAAGCCACTATTACGCAAAGCGTTTCGGGCATGATAAACTTAAATGACAAGCTTAATACTAATTGAGCATAATGAGTAGAATGAAAACAAGAAATGAAAACATAGATGAAAAAGTAGCACAAATACAATTATGTCGACAAACAGCGCTCTTTAAAGAAAAAAACAGACATTGGTTGACAATAGAAGGGTAAGGTAGGTTACAGGGAATTTATTAGGTATAGCTTCGCTTTTAACTTAAACTGGTTGAGAGAGGTACAGTCTTTAACATGGTTGGGAAGGTCAAAAATCGTAGAAATCGTAGTCAAATATATTGTGAATACTTGAGTTTACCTGAAAAACTGAATAGAAAACCACAACCTCACCTAACCGTCTTAGTTTTTGAAGATAATAATTTTATTGGTTCTTAATTACAATTAGTACTTAACCTATAGCTATATTGATATTACAGTTTTATAAAACTAATAAAACAAAACTAAAATGTATCAATAAATTGTAAAGTAACTCAGGATATCTTAAAATTTTGTATAAAATCTATATTGTTTAATAAACCTAAAAAAGAAATTCTTGATATTTAAAACTTGTGCATTACAAATTGAAAACGATAATTTCATCCAAAAATTCTGAGTGTATGACAGAAAACGAAGAGAATTAAATCTGGGGAGGGAGTTGGGTAAATGTAACAGCCCCATAAGTGCAATTATGCACTGTTTATGACAGTAAGAAAGTGTACTGTCAATTCGGAGGATGGGTTGTTACTAATATCTCTTATCTCATTTTTTTCTTGCAATGTATTTGTTGTCATTTTATTAATCCTGCTAGAATTTACCTACTTAAAATTATCTGTTAGATTAAGGACCTGCGCGTACTAGTGACTTTACAAGATTGTAAATACGTATTCTATGTATTCTCACAAACCCAATGTACCTTCTTGTAAATAAATAAATAAATAAATAAGTTTACCATTAAATTACATCCTCATTTGATTCATGTAAAAGAAAATAGCAATTGAGGAGAGACTCTTCTATTCAAACTTTTTATTTTTTTTTATTTTAAATATTTTTCCTTTCTCTATATATTTTAACCCTTATTTAGAAATAAATAACTCCTTAAATCACTTGTTTTGGAACTATGAACAAGGTGGACAAATAGCTGGAACAATCACACATTCCTAGGATTAAGCACCAGACCCTCACAAGAAACTAGGACGCACCTATTAAGCTGTTGTTTAAGATTTAGCTACTCAGAACGAAACGTCCATGTAGCACGGGCTATGGTGAGCCCGTAAACCTATAAAGCGTTTTACTCGGCTGAAGTACTGCGAGGATTGGATTGACGGGTGACATGTGGTGGCTGAAATGTGGAGATGGATACTGAGTGGCTGAGGTACTCGGGGTGGATTGGCGAGTGGACGGTGTTGGTAATGACAGGAGACATTAGGTTGACTGAGGTGAAGGAGATAAATTTGTGGGCAGTGTAGAATGATTTTAAGTCTTACCTAATTGTGTCTACCTGGGAGAGAGATCTAGCTTTATAGCTCCGACTCATTACTATTGTATCAGTTACATTTATGTCTTGAAGTTCCAGCACGATATCATACTTGCTCTTGAGGCTATATGATTGATGGTTGCTTCCGCCACCTCAGGTTTGAGCTTATTGAACGAGCCTGTGGCCATTCTGCGTTCCCTCACTTTGTCTATTCACCTCAGTATCTTATATGTTGTGGCCATGTCGCATCTTGTTATTCCTTTTTCCAATGTCGTTAGTTGTCGTTCACTAGGCCTGACATCACAACTCATATCTCTTTTTTTCAAATTTTATTGTTTTAAATTTTAGACAATTAAATTCCAGTAGCCATTTGTTCGTCCATTTCTGCAACATGTCCAGGTCCTCCAGTAGCATTACACAGTCCTCTTCGGTCCTTATGCTTCTCACCAGTTTATATTGTGACGATAATCTCTTTCAAGAGAGATTGAGCCTGCTCTTCCCTACATATTTACGTCGTTCAAGTACAAGATACTATATTGAAGATACGTCCACCAGTATCGCCAAACGTTTTGCTCAGGAAGCAAATTGTACCATGCACACCCCGACACACCGGCTACAGCCTGCCGTAACCAGCAAACTGCTCATTCTCCGCCTGCCTGTTGCTGATTGGCTGGTGTCTCGCCGCACCTGCACTCACGCCACCACCAAGAGTCGACGTCTGGGCCAGCAGCACGCCGTACTCCTCAGAATATCTCTGTGCTCCTTGGAGTTGACATCTCTCACTAGTAGACTAAGCCTTGGCTTTCGTGTACTAAGGGAGGTGGCAGCTTGAAGCTAGTATTCCAGCACCTCACTTATTTGATTTATTTTAACTTGCATTCTTGTCTTAGAGTAACTTTTCATTACCAGTAATTATTCATGTTGTTTTGTTTGTTGACCTGTTCTGAATTTTATGAGATTGTCTTTATTCATGTCTTGTTTTCTAGAGTAATTAAAATTTCATTGTTTATATACTTTGTGTTTTGTGTGTCTTCCCATTACCTTACCACAGACGAAAGGACAAACTTCTCTCTTTTTTTTTGTTATGTGACGAGGCCCTGCCCCCAGCTTTTGAAACAGCCGAACACCAACGCTTTACCGTCACAATATTCATCTTCAATCTTTGATATGCACGACCCTACCTCCTCCGGAGGGTCATTGAAACAAATCAGGAACCTAGTAATAGCCCCAGTACCAAATATTACTTTAAAATTATCAAAAGTAATGTTGACCAATCCACACACTAGAAAATGAAGGGACGACGGCGTTTCGGTCCGTCTTGGACCATTCTCAAGTCGATTGTTATAGTCATCTTCAGTCTTTGATATCGACACAATTGACTTGAGAATGGTCCAGGATGGACCGAAACGTCGTCGTCCCTTCATTTTCTAGAGTGTGGATTGGTCAACATACTTCAGCCACGTTATTGTGGCTCATCACCTGCATATCTTAAGTAATCAAGCAACAGCAATAAATTTAAAGACTCATTACCATTATGTCGTCGACGAGCTTGAAAGCGGTAGTGGTGTTGGCTGCAAGGCGGGTGAGTTGGTCCTTGAAGCTTCTGATGTGTTTCCTGTACAGGGCGACGGCTGCCTCGGGTCCCTGGCTCTGGTACACGTCTAGAGTTGCAACCATCCAGTGCAGCGCCGCAGCTGTAGGGAACCTCCATGTAATGACTCTATCATTCACCATGCATGGAGTACAGTACAGTTATCCATCTTGTATTCTATGAAGTGCATGCATCATATATGATGTGCATGCACTCATCATGTATGAAGTGCATGCATTCATCATGTAATGTATGCAGTGCATGCATTCATTATGTATTATTTGCAGTACATGCATTCAGCATTCATCATGCCTGTTTGCAGTACATGCATTCATCATGTATTGTATGCAGTACATGCATTCATCATGTATTGTATGCAGTACATGCATTCATCATGTATTGTATGCAGTACATGCATTCATCATGTATTGTATGCAGTACATGCATTCATCATGTATTGTATGCAGTACATGCATTCATCATGTATTGTATGCAGTACATGCATTCATCATGTATTGTATGCAGTACATGCATTCATCATGTATTGTATGCAGTACATGCATTCATCATGTATTGTATGCAGTACATGCATTCATCCAGAACAATTCTGACATTTTTAATGTTTCAGATTGTGATAGCTAATATTAATTTAATGACTATTAATTTTATTATTTGGTAATTGACTTCTTGTTAGACAGATAAACTTTCTTAATGAGTGAATAAATCTGTACCCGAGTTAAGATCCGGTGCAAGACATTGTAACAAATTGACTGCAAGAACAAGTAACGCTAATATCCACAAACAAAGCAGCCATATGAAAATTAATATTGTCTTGGAAGTTTCCGAACGTCACTTTTTCCTGACATCCTCTGCTTGAAATATCACCAGTTGCAATATGGCTGACACTCTACAGAGGTTATCCCCAGAATAAAGTGTTCAGAGCAACACTGCACAGCTCAGTCGTGTCACCCACTTGCAAGGTGTTTGTTCCCTTTGCAGGTAGACACTTGCAATAGAGGCAGGTAAACACTTGCAATAGAGGCGTCAAATGAGCTGTGACCGGATAATTGATGGTATAAGTACTGTATAAGTACTTATGTACTGTATAAGTACTTATGTACTGAACATTAGCAGTTAATTTGTAAATAAAATATAATTTAAGTAATAAATAAATGTAGGAAAGCTGACTACTGACAGAAGATGACGAGCGTCGGAGAGCGGTGAGGGTGCTGCTCCCACTCAGTCAGCTTCCTCGGCAGGATCTTCAATAATATATCCCAGTAGAAGGTCAGGTGGAAGTTAACTCCCAGGTCACGTACTTCAATATTTGCCCAGATTTTGTGAGTATGAAGTTCGGCCTCTAGAAAAGCTGCACTAAGCCACTTGCCCTGTGCGTATAGAGCGATTTTTAGTGTGTGAAAGATTGTATATTGGCTGTGTGTAGTCCTATACTTGGATGTACTTCCCAGGGATGATGTCATTATCAGCCAGTTACTGGCGTGATGTCCCTCAGGTCGGCTGCTGTGATTGGATGGAGCACACTTACGCTTTAGATACCTTTGAGAGTGGCTCTGCTCTTTGATCGTTCTATCCATTACATGGATTCATCTGTCGCAAGTTGGTAAAGAAGCAAGCAGCAGACATTCGAGCAGGGTTGAAGTATTTATAGTGTTAACAGCGACTAGCTCACGCAGCTACACAGTTGCCATTACAAGCTAGCCTGCACGTTGTTTCGGCTGGTGTCATGACTGGTGTTTACGAAGACAGAGGAAGACAGCCATGGATGTGTGTTCCTAGAAAAGACCATGAGCCAGAGAAACTAAGTACATAATCAAGGTGAGGCTGTTCTTGACAGCAAGTATTGTGTGCTCATTCTACACTGGATAGCTGGCCATAGGGGGAGGATGTACCCTTAAGGTCTTTGGAGACTTTAGGCTTGTGACACGTATGGAATTAGTAGAGTTGAATCGCTTAGCCAGTTTTAGCCGACCCCCACGACGCTTTCATAATTTTTGACTTATTGTGTATTAAAACACTTTCGCACGGGAACGACGCAGCGTTGCGTCGTTTTTTTAGTTGAAGCATTCCCGGAATGTTGTTGTTGTTGGTGAGTTAGGGGCGACGACGATAGTGGGATCGGATGCGCCCCGGCGCACCCGTGAAGGGTGAATCGCAAAGCCGGAAAGGCGAAATGCCAAGTCAAAACGTGAAACGAGTGACGCCAAGCACTAAAAACTAATATGCCACACGGCAAAACAACGCACAAAGGGAGAGGCAGAAGCACATAATAGAACAGGGCAAACAAACAGCCAGAAGGGCATACAGCATGTCATAGAGCAAATACACAGGAAATCAGAGCACATACTTGCCCGGGAACTTGGCCCGCGGGAACCGTACATTAAACGCCTCCCAGAACACCCATTGCAAAGGGTCCCGTCCATCCACCGGGGACGCCATAACATCCGGAACCGGGGCAACAAACACCTGCAAACTGGGGACCCAGATGGTAGTACTCAGGAGGCGAAAAGTCGCTACTCGCCCCCACAGAAAGGGAACTTGCCCACCATGAAAGAACTCCGGTCCATCAGACAGCAGTAACTCAGCAATCTTCGACCAGTGACCCGGCGGCATCACAGACGCCGGCAACACGTCCCCCAGGGCCCCAACGCACACCCGCACCACAGGGGTACCCGCGGTCCCGGGCACACCACCAGACGACAGCAGGGAACCCGGACGATGCGCATCCTTCCGTAACGTCACCACCAGGCCACGCCCAGCACCAGAGTCCACACCATCCCTGGCAGCGGAAGCCACCACCTCCCACTGTGGAGAGTCCCCCGGCGGAGAAAGAACCAAAGGCACGTCCAAGACACAGGCACCAGCACCGGCAGGCACATGGACCTCCGCCACCACGAACCGCGGAGACATCGACGCATCCGTATCCACACTGTCAATACCCGAAGCCCCGCAGTCACTGAAGTCACCAACGTCGGCCCAGGAAGAAGACGAACGCCGGGAACGTTTAGGCACCGGCCGGATATCGTCAGAGCCGGTAAGTGACCCAGAAACACGGGTACCACGAGCCGAAGGAACCGACGCCAGAACGGCAGCAGCTTCTACCATAGGGGGAACCGGGCCACACACAGCAGGAGGCTCCGCAGCCACCCCAGCACCAAGCACATCTGGGACCCGAGTCACGGACACAGGGCCAGGCGCAGCATCAGAAGACGAGGGAGAAGACAGCGACGTCACACAGGGGGCTCTAGGAAGGCCCACGGGAGCAGCTGGAACAGCGACAGGATCAGGCAGACCAACCGACGGTACCTCAAGAACTGGAGGAGGGACGGCAACAACCGGAGGAACGGCAGGCGCCGCCGGGGAAGCTGCAGCAGCAAACGGGACGCGCACCACCTCACCAACATCACCGGAGACTGCCTCCAGAGGGAGCGGCGGGAAATCCTCGTCGCGGAACAAGTTGACAGGAGCAGCAGGGGCCTCAGAGCACCCGGCAGCCTGATGCCCCAACAGGCCACACCGGAAACAGGTACGAGGCTGCCGGACATAATACACCCGGACGTAGTATCCCATAAGCCGGACAGAAGAAGGTATATCCGACCGCAGGCGCATCCCCAATGTGTAAATGTTTGTACGCCTCCCAGCATACCGCCCCGAGGAGAGCGTGTTCTCCCGCACGCTGACAACAGTACCAAACCCCCCGAAGTAACGCCGGAGGAGGTCATCAGGGAATTCCAGGGGCGCACCATGGATACTGACATAAGTCAGGGCACCACTGCGGTCCGAAATCGCCACAGAGCCGGCATCGTCTGGCAATGGCAACGTACGCCCCCGTACCGACGGAGGAAGTCCCGGTACTCGTCCTCCCATACGAACTTAATATCAACCCGATGGGCCATATCTAGCTCCACACCGTAAACAGCTTCCACCGGGACACGAAGCATGTCACACATCACCATCTCGATGGTCGAATAACCAGCCTTACAAGTGAACTTCAGGCCCACGGAGTTCACACGCTGAACAGGAGGAAGATGGCCCCCCATGTCAGAACTGCCACGTCAACGCAGCCAGGCAGGCAACAAAACTGGTAGGGCAGGGACGCCCACACCACCTGGTGACCAAAACAGCAAACAACTCCAACAGCCACGGAGGGTCGGTAAACGTCCTCACTCCACGGCCGCTAGCAGTCGACTCCCCGCATTCCCGGTAACGACGCAGCATTGCGTCGTTTTCGGCGGCAAATTGGCGGCGGCTTCGGGAGGGGCGCACAGTGGTTTTGGATATTATATGCATATACTCTTGTAGGGAATTTCATTGCGAATACATTGATACCAAAATGAAAGACCTAGGACCAGAACTGAGGAAACAAAGTTGAAAACAGTATACCCATTTTATTAGCGCTCACTGGGATTATGCTCCGTCACTTTCTCTGTTTGCTGTGGGAGGTACGCCTGACTTTTGGACCTTATATTTGCATATACTCCTCAAGGGAATTCTATTGCGAACACAATGTTACCAAAATGGAAGACCTAGGACGGGAATTGAGGTGACAAACGTGAAAGGAGTGTACACATTTCATCGCTCTTTTGCGCTCCCGGGTAATACGCACTCACTTTCTCTGTTGTGGATGGTACGCCAGGCTTTTGGAGTTTATATGTCTTTAGTCGTGTAGAGAATTCTATTGCGAACACAATGATACCAAATTGAAAAACCCTGAACGAGAATTGAGGTGGCAAAGTTGAAGAGAGTATACAGTTTATAGAATTACTGCGCGCTCCCGTGAAACGCTGGGGCCCACTCAGCCTAGTTGAGGGCTGGCGGGCTAGGGCCACCAAAGTGTTAAAAATACGTTTGTTCTCATGTATATATTAATATTAACGTATATAGTTATTGTTACGATAATCTCCCGCTTAGGCAGAATCTCCCGCTTAGGCAGAAGATCCTGCCTGTTCCCTTTACCGCCAATTCACTAATGTATCTGCATGCTCCAACATAAAGAATCAATGTTAACGACAACAACAATACGTGCTCAGTGGCTAGACAGACATCCCCCTCCACCCTCTAGTACCCAAGACACCTGGACACCTGCTGTCTGGGCAGAGGCCCAGCGCCACTCGCCGGTCGACCAACCACTAACTGCTTATTTAATTGCCGACCGATGGTTACCCACCATCGGTCATAAAAGGAGCTCATATAAAAGGTCCAGTCATCAGAATACACTTTGTGCTCCCAGCAGTAACGTATACTGTTGCCTTCCCAGGAGACAGTATGTTGTTGTTTAAGATTCAGCTACTAGGAACAAAAAGTTCCAAGTAGCACGGGCTATGGTGAGCCCATAGTGGACTTACCTGGCACAGGAGCGGGGCTGTAACTGAATGTGAGACGAGTTGTTGTTGTTGTTTAAGAGTCAGCTACTGGGAACAAAAGGTTAGGAGACAGTAGATGCGTACAGCTTTTGTATAAATGTATTAATTTGCACCTCTCTTTTGCTTAACGTAAAAATCACCTGTATTTATATTTCTTTTCATAATATTGGGTTTTAGCCAAGTGGATAAGGGGCTTTGTTTTGTATGTTATTAGAGTCATTTTTGTTATATTAGTATTATATATATGTTTAAAGTTTTTCATTCTTTGTTTTTTATCTGCAGCTCTCACACAGTAGAGGCCACAAGCAGTCTTATTTACTTTATTTTACTTTTTTTTATTAATGTGAGATTGGCACAACACTAGGCAGAATAGCCACTGCTATATATCAGATTATTTTCACACTATACTATAGTATATAATAACTATGTATAGTTAGGCGAAGGTTAGGTTAGGTGTCTAGGTTCTATTGGCGATTATTTGTATTTGAAGTACTTGGGTGAAGCATGTCAACCCACAACCCATCCTCCAGCAACCCGTCCTCGACTCAAGTCCATTACATCTAGCAGTCGACCCCACAGACGCATTCATAAATTTGTACATGCTGTTCATTCAAAACGGGAATTTTCTCAAATATAAATTAATATTACTATATATTAGCATATTGTACATATTTAGGCATTGGTTAGGTTATGTTAGATGCTTAGGTCCTGTTGGGGATTATTTGCATTTGTAGTACGTGGGTGACCACCGACAAGGACATGAGGAGGGGCAATTGACCCCCCTTTTCGGCACCAAACGCATATCCTGTCCTGCACTACCACCGTCACCAGTGTCAACAACCCCCCACCTCTGTCCACTGGCACTGGGGTGGATCACAGGCTGGAACCGACAAAGGTGCCACCTCGCTGGGCCCATCCACAATCACTACCTCATCCACTCCACCCTCGTCCTCCATAGGCCCCAAGATGTCCTAACCACCAATGGACTGCGACCTGGCAGTGCCCTTCCATTGTTCTTGCCGAGGGAGCAGCTCAGCCGGACGTGACGTATCCTGTTATCGTTGAGGGGGACACACACCCTCCATCAGAGAAGCAGTTGGAAACGCCTCCCGAGACGAGGGGAAAACTCCCACGTCCAGAGACCCCACAGGCGGAGCAAGTGCACTAGATCCGCTCTTCAAAGCAGACGGGGGCGCCTCCTGGGGAGCCGGTAGCACCACCACAGCAGGCAGTACACTGTGAATCTCCACCGGCACCACTCAAAACCCTATAGTTGGAGTCGCATCCACACACTCCAGCCGGTCGGCAGCGCCCGGTTGCACAGGGTGCTACACTGGCTTCGCGCAAGCCTCTGGGACATTCACACAGACAAGCATAATGTGTTGCAGGCTAGAAGGCGGGACATGACCTGCCAACACCTCCGCAGAATCCTCCTGGATTCGGAGGGACAGAAAATCACCCTCCCGGAAGATATTGACGCGAGCAGCCGCCTCCACAGTGCAAGCCGCCACCAGATGACCCTGTAGTCCATACCGATAACACGTACAGGGTTGACCTGAATACATACATTGGAACGTAAACCCCATCAGGGAACACGAAGACGGTATATCCCGCATCAGGGACATCATCAGCGTCCTGGTGCAAGCAAGCATCGCCTTACAATAATCAGCGGAAACTTGATTCCACCTCACACCTAGCACCTTCCCAAACAGCCTGGTTCCCAGCTCATCCATCATTTCAAACGGAGCGCCACGTATGTCAATGTCACACTCAAGTTTACCACTCGTACCGTACCAGCACCATCCGGCATAGGGAACGAACAGCCCTCACACTGGTCAAGGAACTGCCAGAACACTTCCGGTTGAACAAATTTCACCACCACACGGCGGTCTTGAACGATCTGCACTCCGACCAGGTCGGTCAACCTCACACGGAGCACCTCCAACAACGCAATACCAAGCACTGTATGATCAACCGGCGTCGAAAACTTGAGTCCAACCGAAGACGTCCGCTTAAGAATAGGCATAGACGACTCCATCGTAAAGCAAAGACATACCCTGCACAAATAGGATACCACACAAGTCACGAGACCGACACCCAATCACCGACTCTACGCTTGGGTTGTCAAATGGGGAGCAACACCTGAGCACGTCCGCCCCCTCTGGCGACCAGCGAGTGAATCTTTTTAGTGCAATGGTTGTAGACATTTGAAAATCTATCTCCTGCAGAAGGTTTTGTCATGACTGTCACATCCTGATACTACAGCTAACCTCAAGGCAGTAGCTTACCCCGTTCAAGAATATTACTCACCTTTTCTTTAAGTCGGTACTGGAGGGTGGGGCTTCTGAAGCGAGTGAGGAAAGAGGCCAGAAGGTAGCGCATGTGAGAGTCGCCAAACACAACCCAGTGCTCGCTCCTGGCAGGCCCTCTCCCACCACTCGCGGTAGCGTTACCACCACCTACAGTAGTATTATCACTACCTTCAGCAGCATAATAACCAGCAACTTCAACACCTCCAGTGCTAGTGGTATTTCCTCTGGAATCAATGTAAGAAGTTTATCTGATAGACAGGAGCTCGTTTAAGAAATTTGAAATCATAAGAAGGAGTAAGAGGATAATTTGAAATGATGTAATAAATGTTTCAAATGGTGTCTGACAGCATCTGGTGATTTATGTACATACACCTCGATTAACCCTTAAACTGCTGGGCCCATAATATTGCATTCGGAAGTATTCCTTGAGTAACAGACAACAGCTAATATAATACGACAATGTTTGAAGATGTACTGAGGTGTAGTCATATGCTAAGGCGGTGGTGTTCTGAGTTTTATAGATAGGTGTTGATGTGTAGGAAGTTGTGCGTCATCCATAAAGTCGATGAAGATGTGCTCATGTGTATAGTGAAGTGCTGATATGAATGGAAATATGCGGACACATTGAATACTTAGTTGTATAATGTGCTTAGTTATATGATGTATTTAGTTGATTAGTGAGGACTGAGATGTATAAATTCAAAGGGGCATAATGATGTGCTGAGAGGTAAAGTAACTTGATTATGTGATGTACTGAGGTGTTAGCCAAGGTTGACCTTCAGCAGGTGGGCGCTGGCCTCTGTAATACACTAGTGGATCATGCTAAGAGAACCACTGATGTTGACACCCACCTGTGGACCTTCAGCAGGTGGGCATTGGCCTTGGTAATACACTTGTGGATCATGCTGATAGAGCCACTGAAGTTGGCTGTTCTGCAGCATATGTTCTCAGCATGAAGGTTTGTGTGGTACTTGTAGCAGCGTCTGTCATAGGCTGGGTGGTGTCTCGTGGTCTTGTGTGGTGACGGTGATGATGAGTTTGATGACGATGTTTGTGGTGGAAGTGATGTTAGTGATGATGATGGTAATGCTAGTGGTGGTGATGAGGTTAGCAATGGTGATGCAAGGTGTGGTGACAATGGTAGTTGTGGGAAAGGAAATCGAGGCAGCAGGTAAGGGGTGAGGAGCAAAGAGAGCAACAACGTCCCCACCACCAGCGGCGTCACCCGCCTCGCCGCCAGCAGCGCCACCCACCACGCCTCCAGCCTCGCCGCCACCATCCCGGCTCTCCGTCACCTGGTGAACAACAGCAATAATATATTTAACTATGACACGTCTAAAAGAATATAAAACTATGTCTTGCATGCTTAAAAACTCCGCAACAGTGAACAAAGGACGTAAACGAAGACAATTAAAGTCTGCGTGCTAGAGGCTTTACAAGAATGTAAGAACTCTTGTAAGTAAAATGTATAACCTTGCAAGAAACACATAGACAAGAAGCAGGTTAATGGGAGAAAGAGACAGTGTATGTATTTAAAAATCGAATAATGAGAAAGATAAGTTATATTAAGTTAGAGATCAGAGCTAGAAAGTAGAGTTCAGAATACCTGAAGCTTAATTGAATATCAGACTCAAGAGAATTTTACCACATTTAACGTACGGCTTCAGGGCTCATCTTATTTTGACTTTTCATGCATTATTAATGTGATAATGCAGGTCGTACTCGTCGATCTGCTAGTAGGGAGAGTGACTCGCCACAGTGGAATGATTTCCAAGCTGGAAGATCTTATCTTGAGATAATTTCGGGGTTTTAGTGTCCCCGCGGCCCGGTCCTCGACCAGGCCTCCACCCCAAGGAAGCAGCCCGTGACAGCTGACTAACACCCAGGTACCTATTTTACTGCTAGGTAACAGGGGCATAGGGTGAAAGAAACTCTGCCCATTGTTTCTCGCCGACGCCCGGGATCGAACCCGGGACCACAGGATCACAAGTCCAGTGTGCTGTCCGCTCGGCCGACCGGCTCCCTTAAGATACCTCCACGTTGTGGTCAGTGATGTAATCTTTCATACCTCGACTCAAGAATTAGTTGAATTAGTGGATATTGTGGACTGAGATATAAGTTCATAGGTAAAGTCCTTAAGAATTTAAGGTGTGCAACAGTCTTGAAAACAGCTGTCAGCAAATAGTATATTATCTGTGTGCAACATTAGTATTTCTAAGTTGTAGTAAACCTAGAAGGTGTGGGAGATGTTCGTCATTATTTGGTGTGCTATGAAAATTATTGTGAAGCATTGTCTGCGTAAATAAGAATCAAGAAACGCCCGAATCTGCCCGAAACGCTTTGCGTAATAAGAGCTTTAGGCATTGTATGTACTAGCTCTACCTATAAGTCAACCAATCTTTGTAAAAATTTATTGTATGTATGTACCTTACCTAAATAAAAATTTATTTATTTATTTATTTAAGAATACTCCGTTGCGATAACAGACTGACCTCCAGAGAGTTTCTGGCATAGTACCTTGCACCTTGATGCAAAATCTAAAGTAGTAGGCTGGAGAGAGAGTAGCAGAAAAATACCTAATAGACAGAAAATAAATTCACAGTAAGTGGGAATTTAAAATAACGAGATGTAGCGCGGGTTGTAAAACTTATAAAGAGACAATAATAAACTAGGAAGTGCTCAACCTCCAAGATGTTCTTACAATGCTTGTCGATTCTCTTAGTTCATTTACCTTAGTCATTACCTGCTACCTCTCCAGGACGTCTACTCTAGCATTTACCTGCTACCTCTCCAGGACGTCTACTCTAGCATTTACCTGCTACCTCTCCAGGACGTCTACTCTAGCACTGAGAAACAAGAGTTTGACGTCTTCATCACAGTCATCTTCACAGTGCTGGAAATATATATATATATATATATATATATATATATATATATATATATATATATATATATATATATATATGTCGTACCTAGTAGCCAGAACGCACTTCTCAGCCTACTATGCAAGGCCCAATTTGCCTAATAAGCCAAGTTTTCATGAATTAATGTTTTTTCTTCTACCTAACCTACCTAACCTAACCTAACCTAATTTTTTCGGCTACCTAACCTAACCTAACCTATAAAGATAGGTTAGGTTAGGTTAGGTAGGGTTGGTTAGGTTCGGTCATATATCAACGTTAATTTTAACTCCAATAAAAAAAAATTACTTCATACATAATGAAATGGGTAGCTTTATCATTTCATAAGAAAAAAATTAGAGAAAATATATTAATTCAGGAAAACTTGGCTTATTAGGCAAATCGGGCCTTGCATAGTAGGCCGAGAAGTGCATTCTGGCTACTAGGTACGACATATATATATATATATATATATGTCGTACCTAGTAGCCAGAACGCACTTCTCGGCCTACTATGCAAAGCCCGATTTGCCTAATAAGCCAAGTTTTCCTGAATTAATATATTTTCTCAATTTTTTTTCTTATGAAATGATAAAGCTACCCATTTCATTATGTATGAGGTCAATTTTGTTTTATTGTAGTTAAAATTAACGTAGATATATGACCGAACCTACCCAACCCTACCAAACCTAACCTAACCTATCTTTATAGGTTAGGTTGGGTTAGGTAGCCGAGAAAGGTAGGTTAGGTTAGGTTAGGTAGGTTAGGTAGTCGAAAAAACATTAATTCATTAAAACTTGGCTTATTAGGCAAATCAGGCCTTGCATAGTAGGCTGAGAAGTGCGTTCTGGCTACTAGGTACGACATTTATATATATATATATATATATATATATATATATATATATATATATATATATATATATATATATATATGTCGTACCTAGTAGCCAGAACGCACTTCTCAGCCTACTATGCAAGGCCCGATTTGCCTAATAAGCCAAGTTTTCATGAATTAATTGTTTTTCGACTACCTAACCTACCTAACCTAACCTAACCTAACTTTTTCGGCTACCTAACCTAACCTAACCTATAAAGATTGGTTAGGTTAGGTTAGGTAGGGTTGGTTAGGTTCGGTCATATATCTACGTTAATTTTAACTCCAATAAAAAAAAATTGACCTCATACATATTGAAATGGGTAGCTTTATCATTTCATGAGAAAAAAATTAGAGAAAATATATTAATTCAGGAAAACTAGGCTTATTAGGCAAATCGGGCCTTGCATAGTAGGCCAAAAAGTGTGTTCTGGCTACTAGGTACGACATATATATATATATATATATTTCGGTAGCAGTCTTTCTTGTAAACATATGTTGTTGAATATGACCGAAAAGGTAAGATTAATAATTCTAACACAAATTTTCTCAATATTTCTTATGTTTTTCTTCACTGTCGGTGTTAATAAAAATATCAATTCTCCAAAATTCATTTTTTATTAATGGACTGACGCCTAGAAGCGTTTCATAAGAGCTCAAACATATAATCTCTTCGTAAGAAAAGATTATATGTTCCTTGATGGAGCCCTGTTGTTTATGCATTGTTAATCGCCTGGAAAGAGACGTTGTTGTCTTGCCTATATACTGATTTCTTTGGGGCTTACAGTCCCCAAGTGGGCATTTGAAGGCATAGACGACGTTGGTTTCTTTTAAGGCGTTCTGCTTTGTGTCTGGAGAGTTTTTCATGAGTAGGTTGGCCGTTTTTTTCGTTTTCTAGTAAATCGCCAATTGTATTTTCTGATTTTTGTCTGTAGGGATAACGTTCCTATTAACAATAGCTTTCAGGACCCTTTCCTCCGATTCATGAGCTGTCGAAAAGAACATCCTGTAAAATAGCCTAATAGGGGGTAGATGTGTTGTGTTAGTTGACTCTTCAGAGGTTGCATGGCATTTCACCTTTCTTTTTTATGATGTCTTCAACAAAACCATTAGAGAAGCCGTCTTTGACTAGGACCTGCCTTACCCTACTGAGTTCTTCATCGATTTGCTTCCATCCTGAGCTATGGCTGAGAGCCCGGTCGACATAAGCGTTAACAACATTCCTCTTGTACCTGTCTAGGCAGTCACTATTGGCATTGAGGTACATCCCTATGTTTGTTTCCTTAGTGTAGACTGCAGTGTGAAAGCCTCCGCTCCTTTCCATGACTGTTGCATCTAGAAAGGGCAGCTTCCCATCCTTCTCCATCTCATAAGTGAAACTCAACACAGAATTCCGCTCATATGACTCCTTCAGCTCCTGCAGACGTTATATATTAGTTACCTACCTGCAGCAAGCTTTCACAAACGTGTATTCACACCGAGAGGGAGGCTGTTACTACTGCCATCACACTTTTCCACATCTGTGGAAAATTCAGAACAGTAGCTACACGTGTGGCCGAGCGGCGGGAGTGGGGGGAAGGGGGTTTAGATGTCACACGCATGGAGTGGGAGAGGTGCGTGTGAAATGTTTGAGTTATATAGCTGAAGAACAAATCAATAATGGAGTGTGTATAAATCATCAGGACGTTTTCAACACCACTTCAAAGCAGGCAATTACAAGTATTAGTTAAACCAAAATAGTAAAATGCATTAAAACGGGAACTTGGACAAGAGAAACTCCAGCTCGTAGCTCAAGAAATTGAACTCAAGCAACAACAAGAAGAAAACGAAGCTGAAATAACGGTACACGCGGAGCAAGAGAAGGCAAACACATCGTTTGAACACATCGTTTGTACATCGACAAACACAAACACATCGTTTGTACATCGTTTGAAACCCTTGTAAGCCAGTTACACTGGCCTAGGAACCAATGGTCAGTACTTCTCAGAGCTCATCTTGCAGGAAGAGCCGCCTTGACACTCAGTACTCTTGCCACCGAGACCGAGTACGATGTGTTAAAGCCAGCAGGATGCTTACCTTCTGTCCACCGAAAGTTATCAACGACGTTTCAGGGACTATATCAAAACCAGTGTTCAAACATATTTTGAATATGTGCAGACAAAACGCAGATATTTTATAAAGGAGTTAGAATCAGCACATGTAACTACCTTAGAGGGGTTAATAAACCTCAAACTTGTGCAAGAATTTATGCGACGTATTCTGGGCCTATATCTTGCGGATAAGGGAGAGACGAACTTCAGTAAGCTGACACCTATAGTGTCTTCTGGTGCTCAGAAGTCTTCACATTACGACCTACACGCGACGGAAAGAGGGTAGAAATAGCCTAAGCTACTCTATCCCTTTGAGATGTATTTATTACTTATCTCAATAAACATACTTGAACTTGAACTTGAGTGCTCCTGGCTGTCTGGGTTCGAATCCTTCTGGGGGGTGTGGAGGTTTCAGTTGCATATTGGCTTGGGGACTATTCAAGCTTGTTCGCATTTGTGTTGCTCACGTGGCCCCACCAAGTGAGGTGATTCGAGGAAATATCTATGCCCAAGTTATCTATGCATCCACTGAGCGCTGTCGGATGTTGGGTACATAAGTCCCACGACTTCCAACATCTTAACAACACGGTAAAATCTCCAGGAAGAGATTCGGCCTACTCCATTATCGCCTATTCTACTCATTCACGTCTATGTAATCAAGAACTGCAGCCAAGAACAACAACAACAACAACTCCTGCCATATGTCGAGACAGTCTTACTCTACAGTCAGATTCTATATGTCGAGGGGACATATAGAGTCTCCCTCCTGCACCACGGCCAGTCACCCCACCTCGCACCTGGGAGGCCACGTCCTCCGAAACATGCAGTTTCGGAGGACGTGGCCTCCCATATATTATATATATATATATATATATATATATATATATATATATATATATATATATATATATATATATATATATATATATATATATATATATATATATTTAAGGCACAACTCTCCTAAACACGAGAGTGAAGTATACAAATTTAGAACACTTTCCCACCAGGAGACTCGAACCCTCGCCAGCACAGAAGCCTTCCAGCAACTGGCATAACAAGTACGCCTTAACCCGCTCCACCACCTGCTCAGACCCTTAAAAGAGATGGTAATTTCGGAGTATTTATATATTCCAAAGATCACCACCTCCCAAGAGCACTAGAGCAAGTGAGGGGTCATTTATACGTTTATTTCATCAAGTCCCTGTTAATATGGGAGAACACTGTGTCTATGAACTTAAGGCACAACTCTCCTAAACACGAGAGTGAAGTATACAACTTTAGAACACTTTCCCACCAGGAGACTCGAACCCTCGCCAGCACAGAAGCCTTCCAGCAACTGGCATAACAGGTACGCCTTAACCCGCTCCACCACCTGCTCAGACCCTTAAAAGAGATGGTAATTTCGGAGTATTTATATATTCCAAAGATCACCACCTCCCAAGAGCACTAGAGCAAGTGAGGGGTCATTTATACGTTTATTTCATCAAGTCCCTGTTAATATGGGAGAACACTGTGTCTATGAACTTAAGGCACAACTCTCCTAAACACGAGAGTGAAGTATACAACTTTAGAACACTTTGACTCGAGGGTTCGAGTCTCCTGGTGGGAAAGTGTTCTAAAGTTGTATATATATATATATATATATATATATATATATATATATATATATATATATATATATATATATATATATATATATATATATATATATATAATATATAATATGTGTGTGTGTAAATGTATGAGGGATGGGGAGTGAGGGATGGTAGGGAGGACGAGAGGATGGGGGAGTGGAGAACAAGGGGACAGGGGAGTGGGGGATCATGGGGAGAGGGAACGGGGAATGGTGGGGAGGACGAGGGGACGAGGGAGTGGGGAATGGTTGGGAGGTCGAGGGGACGGGGGCGTGTTGGTTTGGCTCAGCAATGTGTGGCCAGGTGCAACTAGTATATGTCAGTAATAAGTATTATTTACATCGTGATTATGCACACCTGTATAAAGCTGCCACGTTGAGAAGAGTAACTACAATATGTGCAGATGGCAGGAGGGGGAAGTTTAAATAGGTCGGGGGAGTTTGAAAAGTTTTAGTTCAATAACTGAAGAACAAAGCAGTAATGGAGAGTGTATAAATCATCAGAAAGTTTTCAACAATACTTCAGGCAATTACAAGTATCAATTAAACCAAAATGGTAAAATTGTATAATAAAATTTCTCTAAGAAAAACACACGGCTCATAGGAAACATCAATAAGACAATAATAAACACAATATAGTAGAATATGTTATTAAGACGTAAAGCAAAGTAACTATATGTCGCAGAAAATAGCAGAACTAAAAGGATTACATTTTTTATGATTTTATAAATTTTTTGATTATTTAAAAACAAAATAGTTCTCTCAGTTTATTGGGCCAATAGCTACAGGAAACAGTTACTTGGGTCATGATAAATTAGAGAAGGCAAAGGAATATAAGTTTATCTATTACTGAACTATATTCACTAGTGAACTATTCTTTCTGGTTGGTCAGTAAACTATTGTAGTGGTCTTAAACAAGACGAATTTTTGTGGTATGAAAGTGGTTAAAGGACATATAGAGACGCTGCTTCCCTCCTCATTCCATAATACAGAACCTCCCTCAGTGAAGAATGAGGGGAAGTTCACTTTACAACACATGACAAGGTGATCATTACTAAAAGTGGTTTGCACACATGTGCTCATTTCCCGAATGGCAAACATGTGTAATAATATAAATAAATAAATAAATAAATAAATATGTTTATTCAGGTAAGGTACATACATACAAGTGATGTAACATTAATGGATTGATATATAGATAGAGCTAGTACATACAATGCCTAAAGCCACTATTACGCAATGCGTTTCGGGCAAGAAAAAGATAATTCCTAAATATAACTAGCCGTAAATAACTTCATTTAGATTTTTAACATTCATCATCTGCGGCCGCATTTTAAGGTTGTACAGTAGCTTCAGCTTAGTTTCTAGATGATACAGGAGTTGTGTTCGCACACTTGAATCACCGAACTCATCTGTTATGTCAAATGCCACGTCAGGCAAACAGGAAGCTGCTCAGACCGTTTATTCTCGACAGTCTGGAGTTGTTAGTGGGAGGCTAAAATTGTGATTTCTGTGTGTAATGAAGGGCGAAGAGGTAGAATACTTATTGACAGAGCCCGGGTGCATGAGGGAATTGTGTAAAACCCAGGGGCTAGATTCACGAAGCAGTTACGCAAGTACTTACGAACCTGTACATCTTTTCTCAATCTTTGGCGGCTTTGTTTACAATGATTAAACAGTTAATGAGCTCCGAAGCACCAGTAGGCTGTTTATAAGAATAACAACAGTTGATTGGCAAGTTTTCATGCTTGTAAACTGTTTAATAAATGTAACCAAAGCCGTCAAAGATTGAGGAAAGATGTACACGTTCGTAAGTACTTGCGTAACTGCTTCGTGAATATGGTCACTGGTTTGTGTCTCGGAGAGGCTGCAGGATCCGTGTGAGGGCAGTTGAGCTCCCGGTTGCAATTATTTTACTATGTTGTGGCACAGTCGATTAAGGCGCGTCTGGGATCCTTTCGGACGTAGGTTCGAACCCTCATCACGGCCCTTGGTGATTTGTTCATAGTACACATAGGCTATACTAGGCCTAGAATATTTAAGTTTGGTTTTAAGCTTATGTTTTCCATATAAAATTAATAGTACAAAAAGTGGTGTACTGGTGGTCCATCACTACATATTGTTACTTTCGGTCAAATAGCCAGAAGGCACTACTCGGCCTACTAGCAAGGCCCGATTTGCCTAGTAGGTCGAGTGATTTTCATTATTAAAAAAAATCCAATTGCTTTCTTTGAATTAATAATATTATATTATATTAAGAACATGAATTACAGACTTAGTTATACCTGGTTGATAGGGTTCTGGGAGTTCTTCTACTCCCCAAGCCCGGCCCGAGGCCAGGCTTGACTTGTGAGAGTTTGGTCCACCAGGCTGTTGCTTGGAGCGGCCCGCAGGCCCACATACCCACCACAGCCCGGTTGGTCCGGAACTCCTTGGAGGAAACAATCTAGGTTCCTCTTGAAGATGTCCACGGTTGTTCCGGCAATATTTCTTATGCTCGCTGGGAGGACGTTGAACAACCGCGGACCTCTGATGTTTATACAGTGTTCTCTGATTGCGCCTATGGCACCTCTGCTCTTCACTGGTTCAATCTTGCATTTTCTTCCATATCGTTCACTCTAGTACGTTGTTATTTTTCTGTGTAGATTTGGTACTTGGCCCTCCAGTATCTTCCATGTGTATATTATTTGGTATCTCTCTCATCTCCTTTCTAGTGAGTACATTTGGAGGGCTTTGAGACGATCCCAATAATTTATGTGCTTTATCTCGTCTATGCGTGCCGTATATGTTCTCTGTACTCCCTCTATTTCCGCAATCTCTCCTGCTCT